GGGGCGCAGGGCAATAGAATCCAATCGATAGATTATCGCAAGCACAGAGTGATACAGCCCGGTCGGCGGCTCAGCCAATGCCCTTTTGTGCCGCGGCCCCCGCCGCATAGGCAGCCAGCGTAGCGCAGCGCGGGCGGCCCGCATCGCCGAGCAGCAGCACCCCCAGCGCAGCGCGGCTCACCAGGACCCGTCCGCACATCCCAACACCACACGTGTAAATTTACCAGCCTAATACAGCAATGCGCCTTGCTCCAGTTCTACTGGTCCCTCCCTCCCTCCCTCTCTCTCTCTCCAGCCCCGTGGCGCGCAGGGGCGTGTGCGGAAAAGTAAGGCATGGCGTGGTGCGGCGTGGCGCGCAAGTCCGCGGGGAGGCTTTTTTTCACGCGGTCACAAGTTTCGGGCGGGCCGCGGCCCAGCAGCAAGCAGTAGCACTGCGCCAAAGCGGGCGGGGCGGGGCGGGCCAGAGGCCAACACCTGACACAGTGTTATCGCCCGCCCCCGCCCCGCCGAAGTTTGCTCGGGTCAGGAGGCCCGGCCCGTTCGCACCTACGCCAATACGCTCCTGGCCTCCAAGCAGCAGGCTTGGGAGGCAAAAGGGACGGGGAAGGTTGCTTCGAATTTAGCGAATCTGCGCGCCGCGAACTGCTGTTTGTAAAGGGCGCCGTAAAGGCTGCCAGAGCTAATTACGCGACAGGTTAGGTTACGTTTAATATTTTGCTGACCGACAAAACCGCGCTAGCTAGTACAATCCCATGAGCGTGTATCGGTGACAGAATTCTCAAAGCAGGCTTAAAGGTGGATTCAGAGTTCCCTAAAAGCGAGCGTGATTCTCACGCAAAGCGTGATTTTCACGCCCGGCGTGATGAAAGTCGATCCCTGATTGGCTGCGTGAAGCTTACGAAGCGTGAAAATCACGCCTGGCGTGAAAATAACGCTTGCGTTTCGTGAGCTCTGAATCTACACTAAGAATCATCAAGAAAGTACGTCTATTTTTCTTAGATTCTTAGATTCATTCGGCAAATTATAGGAGCTCGGCGCCTGCGAGACTCGGGGTAGGCCACCCTGCAATACACGCGTGCACCGCGGACAAGAGTTTGCCTACCCATCAGGCGCCATGAGAACTTGTCGGGTGTCCGGGAGGATACGCGGCCGGTTGCTTCCCGCCACCTCCACCGCTCCCCCTTCGCAACCCATCGATCTGTCGCATATTCTCCCGGACACCCGGTATTTGCCGAACTTTGGCAGGCGGTTCGTAACGGCAACGACGAATGACGGATACACTTTCTGGATGAGCGTATAGTAATCAGCATTTCCACTCACCTGCTGCTGGTGACAACTTGCTGACGACGCCGAACCGCTGCTTCCACTGCAACAGAAAAATACAACGTAAGATCGAGGTAAAGAAAACGAAAACAATAACAATAATTACTTTTGTAGCTGAGTAGTACAGTTGCGCGAGTGCACAAACACACACGCACTCACACACACACACACACACACACACACACACACACACAGAGGCATGCGCGAGACGGCCGTTATTCCAGGCGTAAAATACTCCGCCTTCTCTCCCTCATGGGCAATAATAAAATTGGCAGGAAGCTAACATAGGGCTCCCTTCCGAGTGCACGTGTTTATGCGTGTGTGTGTGTGTGTGCGGGCCGCGCGCGTGTGTGTG